AATGGTAGTTGATAATGACCATTATTGTAAAGATTAGAAAAAAAATTTCTACTATATTTTCTTAATCTTTTTTTCTAAATTTGATTGTAAATACTTCCAAAAATGATATTAAAATATATAGAAATTGTGAATCATTCTTTATCATAGATACAAAGTCAAAAAAAGTACTTTCAAATATAAATGCGCTCATGAATCCATCAAAGGTGCAAATTAAAAGAAAGCACTTCTAGATAGAAGTGCGCCTATGAATCCAACTTAAGTAAATTCATCATGCTATTGAAAAGAGTAGAACCTTAAATAGAGTTTGACTTTTTGTAGAAATCCTTGAAATTTTAATCTCATTCTATCAAACTCTCTAGCATATTTATCCTTGTTTTGCTCATACTTATAGTAGCAAGCTTTTTTAAATTCAATTATGAAATCAATTTACTTGTTTTCCTCAAATGCACAATTCCTTGGCATAGATATTGAACTTCATTGTTGATTTCTTTTACATGCATAGGAATAGTGCCTCTATAGTTAATATAAGTAATATAAGAAAATTTTAACCTAAGAGTATTGACAAGCTCATAAAAATTTGTAATAGTTTCAAATCTATTCTTACTTCTACTAAGTGTAGCATACATGATTTTTTTTTCTATTTTTATAATAAAAAAACTATAATATATTTATTAGTCAAATTAGAAGAGTGTAATTTGCAACCTTTAAAATCAAGTAAAAATTTGCACAAAGAATGGTAGTCCACTTTCTTCAAGGAAAGAATCAATGTTAGAAATAAAAACATTTAAGTTTAAAGGTGGATAATTTGTAATCTTTAAAATACTTTAAAACAAGTGCAATAATTTGATCACTTCTAAGATAAAACAAAAACAATGAAGTGGCACTCTTTTCAAACTATCAAAGACGTAATTTACAAAAAAATCAAAGGATTAAATTATTTGTATGTCACCAAAATGGAGTAGATAATTACTCAAGAATAGCATAATATTAAACTGGAATAGCTATTGTTTAACATGAGAAAAATCCAAAAACCCTTGAAACAAGATTAAAGACAAAAAATGATAAGATTGAAGAAGGCTACACTCTTACTTCCATATATACTATCTAACTAAGAGATATGTAGCAATGTTCTATAAGACCATGGACAAGTATCCAATTTGTGAGATACAAGTACAATGTACAAAATAAGTTTCCTACATATGCACCATGTGGCCAACTTATACCATAAGTCACAAACATGTGCAACATGTGGCTAACTTTTTGGCCAAATTTACAACCTATCAATTATCTATAAATACATATAGAATCAAATCAACATCTACAAAGCTATTAAGAAGCTTCTCCATATGATATTATCAAGTCTATTTATTTTTGTTTATTTTTATCTAACTCCTTTAATATAAGTAAATATATATATTCATGATATTTAATAATAAAACTTTTTAGAGTATACATTGAACTTCATTGTTAACTTCTTGTTTAGGCATAGAAATAGTATTTTCATAATTGACTTTAGTAATATATGAAATTCTTGTCCTAAAAGTATTTTGAAGTTTAAGAAAATTTGCAATAGTTATAAATTTATTGTCACTTCTATCTAGTATAACAACCACAATTGTTTTTTTTAATCTTTATAATAAAGAAATTTAACAAATGCATAAGTCAAATTGAATGAAAATAATCTTAAACCTCTCATATCAAATAAAAAATTTACAAAGAGAGAGAGTCTATTTTTTATAATAAAAGAATCAATGTTAAAAAAAACTAATAATGATTTTTTAAAGGTAGGTAGCTTGCAACCTTTAAAATATAATAACAAGAAGTGACATAATCTATTTATTTTACATTAAAATAAATAATAAAAATTAAAATTCTTATCAAATTATTAAAAATAAGAATTACAACAAAATTTTAGAAGTGATAATATATTCTTATATTACCAAAAGAAAGATAGTATATAACTAAAAGTTACATATGAAATTGAATTAGAATGGTAATTGCCAAATACAAAAGGATTTAGAGGTCTTGAACCAAAACATAATACAAAATAGGCTTCAACAAGAGTGAAGAGGACCTTATTTTTGCTTGCATATATACTATCTATGTAATAATTATGTAACAATGTCTTATATAATATATAACATGTGTCCAACTTGTAGGATCTATGTCTAGTTTGTAAGATAAGTTTCTAATATATATGCTACATAGCCAACTTGTAATACAAGTAGCTAAATATTTGCCATGTAGCCAATTCGTTGGCCAAGTTGTCAACCTATCAATCACTTATTAACATGTATGAATTCCATAAAGCATTTTAGAAGCTTTTCAAAAAGATATTAGCAATTTAATCTATTTATACTTACTTAAATCTAATTCTATTTTTTGAAATAAATATACTATAAAATATGGCTATTAGTTACATTAGACAATCTTCTTTGTTTGTATGTCGTAAAAATAAATGAACAACTAAAATATTGTTATTAGACAAATATCAACATAATTAGCATATGACATATTTAATGTTATTTTTATTACTTTGTTCTAGAAATAAGATTTATCTTTATTTTAAAAAGTTTATTATTTACATCATATCTTGTTACATAATTAAAAACTTTCTTAAAGTTTGCTATATAATTTTGTAAAAATATTACTATCAAAATTAATTTTGATTTATTTGTAAGTTTAAAATTTATACTTAAAATAAAGCTTAATCAATAAATTGAAATTAAGAATTATTTAAGGTAATAATAAATGAAACTAGCATTCTACTCAACCTATTGTTTCTTGATTACTTCTTTATTGAGCTTTCTTGGCCTACTTGAAATCATAGTTTCAACTTGAATGTGTATGGTTGTTGTAGCACCTATGATAGCATCAAGATTTGGCTATGAATGTGTTTGTAGTGTGGGTTTTTTTTGGTAGAATTTCTAATAGAATCTATGAGAGATTAAACTTCAGAATATATTTATAATACATTTTTATGTAAGTTTGACTTTATGCCTGATGTTAGTTGGTACCATTAGATATATATTATGGTACTTAATGGATATTAATACAATAGCTATCACATGACATATTAGATTTATTATATAATGCATAAGATAGTTGACTTAAGGTAAAAATCAACTTTAAAAGAAGATATTTAGAATAATGAATCTTCTTATCTTAACATTCTTATCATATAAAGTATTTTGCATATATTTGTGAAAGAAAAGATTTTTGTTAGGATTTTTTTTAGAAGTAATTTTTTAATCATTATGTAAATTCATACTTCTTTGCCATATTTATACTTTGGATTTTCTTAATATAAAATGAGAAATAGTACAATTTATCATATTTCTTTAACAATGTGTTTGTTGTTGATTTTTGAATAATTTTGATTCTATACTTAATATTAGTTGATAGAATATTAAATGTTATTATATAAAATAGCTATTTATATGATATATTCAATAATAAAAAATTATAAATTTATTTTTAAATTTATTTTAATTATTTTATTTATTTATTAAATATATTATTTTATTTTTATTTAAAATTTGATTCTTTTATTTGTTAATTTTTCAATTATATAGTTTCAAAAAATTGACACGTGTATTTAAATAATCTTTAAAAAAAAAAAATTATATGGAAATTTAAATATTTTTTAATTAAATTTTAAAAGAATATTTTTTGACCAAGTGTTATTTCTTTTTTTTATTTAATTTATTTATTATTATTATATTTAATCTTTTGATTCACTTAATCTATATACTTAGGCGTTTATACATTAAAGTCTAAAAAATCTAAATTTCATAATCTATTATGCTTACCAATACATTTTAAATTCTTTAAAAATTTAATAGAAAATGAGTTTCATACAATTTTTGTAAAAACTATAACTATTTTGTAACCATCTTTAAGATGGTATCAAGTGAATGGATATTTCATCACCAATATTATTTATTATTACTCAATATCTAAGTTTCTGAACAAAATTTTATTTTGTATTAGCTTATAAGTTATAAAAGTCATTGGCAATAAAGCTTCAACAATAAATACACATCTTCTAAACTTTCAAGCATATCTATTCAAACTTATTAAAAGAATAAATTTAATTATTCTTTTTTGTATGGCTTTTGTAGAATTTTGTAAATTTTCTCTCCTGCCACTTCATCCCTTCTTTTCATTTCTCTTTCTTCCTCACTTCTCTATTTTTCTCTTTTTCTTTTTTCATCCTTATCATTTTGCCTTTTTTTTTTTTTTTTTTTTTTTTTTATCTTTTTTTCTTCAATATGTATTTAAAAAAACTCTAAATAAAATATAACATAAAGCACTTCTAATTTAAAACTTGAATGCTGTTTCAAGCCTTACAAAGCTTTTTAAAATGTGTATTCTTATGATTTTCTTCATCAGATGTCATGAATCCCAAATACCAATGAATAATCCTTACTCTCTCGATACTATGGGCACTTTGTAAAGAAAGGTGCACTATACCACAATTGAATTGATATTCTTAGAGTATTAATATTATGTGGCTCACAAGAAAATCACTTGATTCTCGATTAATAATCAACAAAATTGCTTTACAAAAACTTTGTAACTTGTGTATTGCTATTTGTACCCTTGTAATTACTACTTAGTACTATTGATATATTTACTTCTTGTAAACAACTTTAGTTCATTGACTATTTTACATCACATCAATACTTGCCCACCTCACCCATATTCATCCATTGCTCTCCTCAACACCTCTCTGTTCGTTGAACTGAACCCCCGCCCCCCATCCACTCATAAAATCAAGTAGAACAAAATACAAGTCCAAGCTCGTATTAAATGAACAGAGAGTATCACTTCTCGAGATAGGAAACATACTTAGTGATCATAGAAGAAGCTGAACTTTTACTTTAGATATAAAACATTCGTAAAATGGACAGATCGACAACAAGATAGCCCTGCAATGCTCCAGAGAAAAACACATTTCTAAGCGGTGTGTAAAAGAAGCTGTCTGATATATCTAATGATGAAAAGATTGCCATACATTGTAGACTGTGGACAAGCTCAACAAATCGGCAGTTATGACGTAATATGAGCTAACAAGGTCATGGAATCAATGACCAAATGAATCGGACTATCTTTCCAAGCTTCTTGTAATTTAGACACCCATCCCTACACTTAAGCTGCACAAAAAGATGCGGAGTCAGCACAAAACTATTCATTTGTAAAAGCTTCTTTTTAAACTACGATACTCAATTCTAACTACTATTCCGAAGACAAAGACCATTGCGATGTACATCTACGCTAAAATTGCGATGTACGTTTAAGCTGGTAGCTTGAGCTTTTCGTTGTTCTTCCAACTGCAACACACGTCCACAAACACACAATCCCAAACAGTCAGCACTACACCCTATCAACCACTGAATCGACCCCTTAAATTGATGCACGTGCTACTGCAGCAAAAAACCATCCATAGAATAACAAGAGTTGAAAGCCAGTCAGCACCTCTTGAAGTAGTAGTAAAAGAAATCCGCATACAAGGCTGTCTGAACGAGTCCTGCCATCCAGGCTGCATACGACCAATCACAAGTTCAGGGAGTGCACAGGAGTTAATAGTTCATATACTGGTACAGTGCACTAGCGGATGTAAATGAAAGTTTCATCACAAGAAGTCATTCAAAAATAACCAAATGAACTGAAGTGATTAAAATAAAAGATCACAAACTATCACTTACTTATCCATTGACGGTAATGACTTTCCGTCAGGTACCGATAAACCCAGTTGATGAGGTAGAATCCACGATAAGCTCTGCCGAAAAGGGGAATCCACAATGAAACACAGAAAGACCTATCTTTGAGAACATATACATTATCGTGGTATGGTGCACTATCTGTTACACTCATGCCTCACTACTATAGCAAACAAACGACAACACATTTTGAGATAAGGACATACCCAAGGAAAAACACATAGTTGCCTGTTAAATTGTCTACATTTCTTGTCCTTTGCAATAAAACCAACTGTGGTATTATGGCAACCGCCTCCAAATACAGAGAGAAGGTCCACAAAACCTGTTCCACGTTAACAAAAATGAGACATTCACCCATTAGACTGGGAACAGAGTCACTATTATAAGGATGAAAGAAACAGGAGTAGTGGAATCCTAAACCACAGTTCCAAAGTGTAACGTATGTGATGGCAATAAGGCAAAATCCACATAGAGTGATAACTTAACCTCCAAAAAGTTGTGTAATTGAATACTTGCAAAATGAAATTAAAAAAATAAATAAATAAATAAATAACAAAAACAAACAAACAAACAAACAAAAACTTTAAATTAATAACTACCCGTCCAGAATAAGGACGCAGACTTATGAACATGATAGGCACCAGCAGAGAGAAAGTGCATAACACATTTCAAACAGCACTCAGAGTAGGTCTTAATACTGTAATAGAAGCTCTTTTCCATCTTTTGCACGACCTTGTTTCCCTAGGTTTCCTCTTCATTACCAATGATAACATCCTTCAAGTCCTCAGATGATTACATTACCTCCCGGAAAGTGAACCTGTTGTTCAGAACCAGAGCTAGCAGTAGACATGGCGCAATCAGGAAATAGTGCCGGAAATTGTCGTTGCTCTTGTCATACGACAGCCGCACTGTCTTATGATATCTCATGTACCACACGATAGAGAATGAGGTGCCCAGAAATATTAACTTCATCAAAGTATTGTATAGAGATATATAAGAGACGAAAATGTCCAGATACCGCGTGACAAATACTAAGGCATACAGTTCCTGAGTCCTTAACGAAATCCCTGAAATAACACCAAAAAACAACAACCCATTAAGGCTTGCAACTACAAACACAGGAGCCTCCACGTGTGATCAATAGAACACTGACAGTTGAACACCGATAATCTGTAAAACATCAAACTTCTGAGGTACAATACTAGAGCACATTCCATCTTAAACGTAAAGCGCCTCAGCTACAGGTGTCAAGGCATCAAAAAAGCGGACAAGGTCCTACTTATACACGTTAGATGGAACGCACAAAGAAAAATTATTCCTACCACTCCTCAAATTGCTCAGGCACACATTATTCAAATTGGATCTTGGAAGAGTAGTGAGTTGATAGAATACCGAAACTTCTTCTAAGCTTCATTAAATTTGAACTTAAAACCCACTTCAAATTTCACATAAAATAATCGGGGCGGCAACACTTGTGACTACAAAAAATGAGCAGGAAATATTCCAGCGAACAAAATATGAGAAGGAGAATACCCGCGCATGACTTGATGGTATGGATCTTTAACAGCAACACGATTATACTCATCAAGTGCGTCAAATCCCCGATAAGCCTGAAGATATTCATCTTGACAGCTTTGTATGTTCAACCTTTCAACTACTGCACATTACAGATCAAACTATCATTGCATGTTTCGTAACATGACTACCATGTCTGAAGAGCAAAGCAAAAAAAAAAAAAAAAAAAAAAAAAAACAAAAACCCCAGACAAGCACCCACAACGACATTTCACTCGATTCTACCCAACAAATGTCCCTCCGCTCGAAACGAACTTGGGCTCGCACCTATCGGATTCGTCTCGACCCAACTCAAAAGCTTTTCTCGACACGAACCACCGCAGTCAACGCCTCAACCCTAACACCTCCCGACGGTAGTGACTGTACCGAGAGAGGTGACTCTTTCGCACCCACAACATCAATTCAATGGATCTGTAAATTGATACCTTTTTCAACTTCAATGGGGGATGGGTGTGTCGACGATTGGAACTCCGATCAAGTGTACCTCTTCTACACGTGGGAGCTATCGAGACATGAGCAACGCCGTCTTCGCTCGTCGTCTCGCTTTCTCGTGTCTACGCGCTCCCCACAAACCCACCTCGTGTCGGGCTGCATGAAAACCGGTGTAACGATATCCGCAGATATAAATTGATCCCCTCGGACGGATAAGGGTATGTGAATTCCCGTGTATCAACTGGGTGTGTTCCCCAACTGTCGCTTGCCTTGCACTTGTTCCTTCGATGGCTGGGTACCACCATCAGTCAAGAATAATCACATTCGTTTCTTAAATTTGATTTGCTTAATTTTTCAAAGAATGCAAAGAAATTCAATACAAAATATGTTTTGTTACAGTAGTTTCTTACAATGTTGTAGAAGAAAAATTTAGAATGTAGTTGAATTCAAATAAGTAAGAACATACAGCACAAAATGACTTAGTTGAAAGAATTTGTTCTCAAAATTGCCCTCAAAAGGTTTTGGTGAACAGTGACCTTAAACCATGAAACAACTGCAAGAAGTTGCATCAAAACAGATTAACTTGAACCCCAATCACAAAATCCCAATTTTATCTAGTACAAAAGTAGCACAAATGCTAACCCCAACCATCTTGTAGCAAGAGAATGTGGGGGAGACCTTCAAGTAAAGTCATACTAAGTAAACAAAAAAAGCAATGGAAACAACATCTCTATAAAATATGAAAACGGTACACATTTACTTGGAGCAGAAGAAGTGGAAGGGAAACAGCGAGGGGCGTGATGTGGGTGAAGCAGCAGGAAACGAGTGGAACCCAAGTCTCCAAAAGACGCCAGCTATCTGTGTGTGCAGCAAGCAAAGCCACATTTTCAAGGCACATACACACTCAACGTTATCAAGGCACACTTTTACAAACATATACACACTCACATACACACACATTCATTCAACAGACCTGCCCCCAGAGCCAAAGCCATGGCTGCTGCTTGATCACAACACCACCACCACCACCATCCTTTCCTGGATATCCAACACTAGCAAGCACCTCTCTCTCTCTCTCTCGCTCTTATCTGTGGCTTTAGACTGACTATGACTATGGCGTCCAGGCTGCACACTCCCTGTCTCTCCCACATTCTCTTGCTACAGCTATTGTTGCTATGTTGTCTCTTTGCGCTTCCTTCCTATGCCGACATTAGCAGTGGCACCTCTGACGGTGCTGAGGAGTGGGGCTACACTGACGTGCGCCCTGGTGAGTTTTTGGTTTGGATTTCGTGGGATTCAGAGTCGTGTTTTGTGTGAGGGAAGTGATTCCGTTGACGGTGTTTGTGGAGTTGGGTTTCTGGTTTCTACGCGTGGGTGATGAATTGTTTGTCACGTTTGGGAAGTTGCGTTCGGTAGCTGAAATAGGGTTTTTGAGCCTGAGCGCTGGGTTATGAAGGTTCTGTGTGCGAGGGTTTGTCATTTGTGGATGGGATTTGAATTTGGGGATTGAATGCAAGTTCGTGGATTGAAGATTGTGATTGGAGGGATTGCGCAACGATCCCGTCCATGTGATGGATTCCTTAGCATTGAAACATGACCAATGTTTTAGTCCGTGGACTTTGCCTTCATCCTTGCATTTGAATTCTTCCAATTATGCCTGAATCGTAAGGAATGTGCTGGATTTTTAAATAAATTAAAATTTGATTTTTTTTTTCTCTCTTTCTTTTTACTTTTCTTTCGTTTCTGATTAGTTTTTTTAATTCTGGGCTTGGTGTATCATGAAAGTTGTAGCTTTGGATGACTTTATGTCAAAATGTTCAGAAGGACTGATTTCAAAGCAAACTGATCGAGTTGGTAGAGATGTAGTATGTACATTGTTAAGAGGTTCAACGCAATGTCACTGTGCAGGGGCCCACATGTTTTGGTGGTTGTATTACAACGAAAAGGACTCTACACCCAGCAATTTGCCCCTTGTCTTGTGGCTGCAGGGTGGTCCTGTAAGTTTCTTCAGAAGTTCCGATGATTCATTCAGTGCAAGTCGGCAATGATTTTATTCTTGCAGTTGTTAGCTTCTCCCAGCACTCGTGTTCATTCTCAGGAGGCATCTGTCTCAGTTACATATTAGACCAAGCATACATGCTGATTAGAAAGAGAATAGCTGGTATTCTGTAACGGCGTTCCTCTGATGATTTCTCAACGCTCATTATCGTTGTATGATGTGGATATCATGGACCTTAATAGCTCCGACGCAAGGTTCTATTTCGGCCATGTCCAGCCATTCTGTGAAACTGAAAAAGTAACGCCCATTTCTGCAGGGTGCATCTGGGGCTGGATATGGAAACTTCCACGAAGTGGGACCCCTAACAGTTGATTTGAAGCCTCGGAGCAGTACATGGTTGAATGTGGCCCACTTGCTCTTCGTGGTAATTTTGGTTTTGCTCTCCCTGTATGGTTTAAAAAGTTTCATTACATTTGATTTGATCCGCTTCGTAAATTCAATGCTACCTGATTATGTTTGTTCTCGATTGAAAACTGAATTTCAGCAATGATTTCCCTTTGTTCCTGTCAATCCATCCTAGTAAATTTTTTACTCTGCGCACACCAAAATGCATGGTTGATTTCACTGTTGTCTAGGCAAGAGCATGTTCTTGAAAACCAATGCTGTGAAGATTTTGAGTTTGCTGAGTGCTGAAGTTGTGGTGATGTGGGATTTCTGTATTTGACTCGACGAATAGGACAACCCTGTGGGTACAGGTATACATCCCCTTTTTCTCTGTAATCTTCTCTTAATAAGTCACTTCTGTATCGTGGACCAATAAATTTGTTAGGGTTCATCTCTCATTACGTTGCAACTGCTTAACTGTTGTCTTCTAGTCGTATTAAGGATCGAAGAGTACGACTAGAAGGTGGCGGTGTTATCAAGCCGCGTTAATGTACGTGCATTTTGGTTGTCCAGGTTTTAGTTATGTGGTGAATGCGACCCTTCTTACAAGGAACAACAAACAGGCCACAACAGACTTGGTGACCTTCTTGGGAAAGTTTTTTGATTCTCACAAAGCGCTTCACAAATCGCCATTCTTTGTTGTTGCTGAGTCTTATGGAGGCAAGTTTGCTTCTGAGTTGGGCGTTGCACTGAAGGAGAAAATCGATGCAGGTTCTCTAAGCATCAACTTTAGAGGTGAATGATCAGTTGATTTTCATCGTTACTGCACTATTCATGCGTTCTGGATTCAAAATATTGATCTGGTGTATTCTTGAGAAAATCCTCAAGACAGCTGCAAGTTCCTTTGAAGGCTAATATCTGCACATAAATAATTATTCTTCGCATTACGGAGATGTGATTTTACACCTGCAGGTGTTGCGCTTGGAGATACCTGGATTTCACCCATTGACTTCTTAGTACGTACACAGTATTCATTAAATCATTTTACCATTATTCCGATCAGATACTTTGTTACGCTGTCTGGTTTATGAGCTGTGAACGTGGTTATCGTTTTGCTGAATTCTACGCTTTGCTTTGTAGTCTATACGGTTTTCAAAGTGCAGCATTGTTTATGTTTTCAATATTAAACTGTAGAGGATAGGTCTGTTTGAAACGACTTGATTGACGAGATTAACTTTCTTGGACATCATTTCTAACAACTTTCATCCGATACAGTATGCGTGGCCTCCGCTCTTGCAATCTTTCTCGCTGGTTGATGAAGCAGCAGCCCGCAATCTTCTCAGGTATGTTTTTTACAGAAACTACCCTTGGTCCTAAGCAATAGAGGTGATGAGGCGTCTTATGAAACTCTCTGCTATTCAGGTGGTTGGAAAGAATATCAAGTGCCTTTTTCATGACCTTACGATCTCACCCAGTTTTTAGCGGAAACCATGGATTGAATCCGAATCAAAACTTTGGATGTGTCTTACTAGTTATGCAGATTCAGCGGAATCCGAAATGAAAGTTGGGAATTTCTTAAATGCGACCTATATCTGGGGTGACATGGAGGAGGCTGTTTTGAGAGTTACAGACAATGTGGTATGTGCATATCACTATTTTCTTTCCACAGGAATCCATAGGTCGCTTGTGACGAGTCTCATCGCTAGGATAGTCCTATTTACAAAGTGAACTGTTTAGGGTTTCTGTTTCGTTATTCCTGTCTACCACGTAAGAGTTGTTTAATTGTGAACGGTTGCATTCTTCTTCAATAAAATATCTCATCTAGGTATTTTTGTACGTTGCAAGTAAATGTTACAATGCACGATTTTCAATACGTCGTCACTGATGTTTTTTTTGGGGGTTTCGGAGCAGGATTTTTACAACATGTTGAAGCATGATAATAGCGAGTCTTTATCCTTAAATGCACAAGGGCTATCCAGACTGGCTGCTCGACGTCTCGCAGTCACCCAATCTGCAGACTTAGCACAAGTTATGAATGGGCCTATCCGGGAGAAACTGGGGATTATTCCGAGCAACATTAGGTCAAACTTTCTTTTAACCTCTATCAAGAACTGTCTTTTCAAAAAGTATGAAAGCAATGTTCAAGGCTTTTGTAAGAGTCTTCTTAGTTTGGTATGAGGTGTCAAAATGGGGTCATTATGCAATGCACTTTTGAAGTGTGATTGCCATCGTAGCTTAATGTTTTGCTTGCTGGCTTGCAGCTGGTCAGAATCTTCAGGTGTGGTGTTTAATGCACTTGGTGAAGACTTCATGAAAGACACTATAAATGAGGTGATACTCTGAAGTCTTCATTATTCATTTCATTCCTCTTGTGTTGCAAACTATGGACGATTTCCCGAGGTTCTCACGTATACTTTACATAATATGTACTGCGTTGTTTAAGAAAATAACTGAATGCTCCGGTTGGGATTATGCATCTCATTCGATACTTCTGAAGCTTTGCAATTGGATGAAATAGGGACGCATTGAAATGTAGGTCATGCAAGTTGGAGAGAAGGAGTCCTGACATTTGCATTATCATTTGCAGGTTGATGAATTATTAGCTGCAGGAGTGAATGTGACCATATATAGTGGACAAGTGAGTCACTTCATTACTTATTCACTTGATCTGATTTTTTTGGATGACTTGTCCGTATCAAACCTCTTTAAGTGATCTCATCCTTCTGTTATAGACTTCACGTATCATACTCCATGGAGGCTCCCTTCAACTATCTGCAAATTCGTACCCGATTCCAGGATCAGATGAAGGCAAACATTCGAAGGGAATAATCCTCATGCTGTGATTGTTTCTAGGTTTCGAGAATTTGGAATAGGAATATGAAATGTTTTTGTGTTTTTGAAGACCGGAACTGTACTTCTGTTCATTGCAGCTGGACCTGATTTGCTGTACCACGGGAACAGAGGCTTGGGTTCAGAAGTTGAAGTAAGTTTTGAATCGATTTAAGTTCATATGCAATCACTATTTTCCTATGCACGAGTTGAAATCGGAAAAAAAATTGATAACAAATACTGTGTAATGGGTTGCAAACAAAGTAACCCAGTACTTTAGATACTAAGAGATGCCTGTTACAGATGGTCAGGTCTTTCCGAATTTCTATCTGCTAAGCGAACTCCTCTGTACTGTGAGGGCGATCGTCAGACGCAAGCATTTGTGAAAAGACACAAAAATTTGAGCTTCTATTGGATTATGAATGCAGGCCATATGGTAACCTTTCCCCGAGCCAGACTTGCTCCGCTACATTTTCACCCTTGCTCTGAATAGGGCAGACCTTAATCTGCCATCCTCAGTTTTCTGAAGCCACGCAAAACTTAGTTTTCAGCATGTTCAAAAGGACCTTTACAAGTTTCTTATGTAGTTGGACAAAACGTGGGCCTTTCCAATTTTATTCCTTTGTTGATTCTTGTGTATTTTGAACCACAGGTACCTACTGATAATCCATGCATGGCGCTAAAGATGCTGCAGCTTGTTACTGGACAATCAAGCCCTGGTTTAAGGCTTCAGGCAACTTTCTAAACGATGTGCTGTAAGAAAGCTCTCACTCTATGGTGCCACATGATTGTTTACACTACCTTCCCTCTTCCTAGCCAATCCAGGTACAGATCGAATGGCTGTGAGGGAGACACTTCAGACTGGGTGTGTAGATTCGATGTTAAACAAGAATTTCTGTACCACTTCATTGACGCTATGCCGTTGTGGTCATTTGCCTGATCTACATCGAAGCTCCTCATATAGTTTGAGATTGTAGCAGATTTTGTGCAGTGACTCTTTGTTGAACTTGCTAGATAGTGACGTCAAGCGCCCTCCACCTTGCAAGTTTGAAAAGGGGAGTGTTGTAGGATATGACTTTGATTAGACTTTCTCTTGGATTTTCTTCATACTGACTCACTGTTGGCAGCAATAAATACCTCTTTACATCAAGAGGTTGAAGTTACTGCATTGTGTGCCATTATGGGTATTGTTGACCTTTGCTATAGCATGTTGAAGGTTGAATGCATTGGTAGCAAAGTTCAGACTATAATACAGAAAGGAATCCATGAGGATGAAGAATGGAGAAGGTATATATAGTGAGAGCTCAAGCAGCATGAGTCCACAATGGTGTTTCTATTCCTACTCCAAATAAGTTGGACCTCAGTCTGACCATGTTATGTGGATCTTATGTTTTTCTTTCAGATTTGTTATAATATATTGGTGCACATTGGTACACATTATTTGGTGTATATATTCTCTTTTGGGTAACTATTTCATCAAGATTTTCAATGATATTAATTTCCAAGGAATGACGTTAAAAAATGTGTTGACTTTGTATAAAAATTTCTATAACATGGTTTTTTGTTGTACAAATAATCCTAGTATTGACAATGTTGGTAAAGTCTGACTTGTTTTAACAAGGTTTATAGTTCGATTTTCTAGAATTTTTGAAATTGTTGAATTTACGATTATATTTGTATAATTTTGTTGGTTCCAGCATCAGTTGACTGTGGACAGTATGTTATCGTTTGAAGGTTTTATCCAAATGATTCATTATTAGGTCTAAACTCATAGTTCAGGGTTTTAAACCCACCATACGTGCTAATCTATCTCATTCTCTAATCCATGATCATTCAAACACGTTAAAGCACAATGGCGCTATTCTTTGCATCCATTAATGCGATGCGCTTATTAATTCACATGACGTTTATTCCGTTTTTTCAAAAAGTATTTATGCTAGACTCAAATACATTTCCCCAAAAAAATGAGTTCAAAAATAATAATGTTTTTTTTACATAGCTAAAAGCTCGAACCAACTATATCTGCATATATATATATATATATATAAACCCATATACTTGGAACACTTCAAAGAAAGCATAACTAAATAAATGAAACCAAACAGCCAGCTACAATGAAAATTTATTGCTGGCCAAGATATATTTGATTTCTTTCAGGATGGGACGGTGGCCCACACGCATTAAACGGATATAAGAAGCAGGGTGCAAGAGCGTGGGAGGCGCCTATGACCAAGCCATCAGTGGAAAGGGAGAGGTGGAGGCAGGGGTTGTACATCAAGGGATGGATGAAAGGAACGAAACAAGGAAGGAGGAGGAACCTTATCCGTCCTCGCCTCGAAGCTCCGAATCCTGGGCCTTCAAACGAGAGTCTCCCAGCTCGTCTTGTTATTGTTTGCCTTGCAACTGCAACCTCACAATCTCTGCATTGCATTCCGAGGGTGAGAGTTGGAGATACCGAGAGCGCTTGCACTGTTAATTCGGAATTCGGTAGGAATCGTGGCCATGGCGTCGCTCGTTGCGGTTCCCTCCTCGCTGTGCTGCTCCTCCTCCACATTCTTCAAGGCTCTCCCGATGCCGAGCGCAGCCGCGGTCTCGTCGTCGTCGTCGTCGTCGTCGTCTGTCTCTTTGCCTGCCATTGTATGCGGCCGGGGTGACAAGCGCACTGCCAAGGGCAAGCGAGCGCGCGGCTCGTTCGGCAACTGTCGTCCTAAGGATTCCTCCAAGGGGACTGGATTGGCGATCACGCCGCTGCCGCCACGCACCAAGAAGGAAGTCGAGGATACCGAGTTCATCAACGTGGAGATTGACGAGAGTCTCTTCAACAGGCAATGAGGATTTTTTAAATTTTTGGCTATCCATGCTTCGTGCCGCTCTTCACAGCCATCGCCATAGCCAGTTTTGGAGCATCAATATCAGCGCAGGGGGTGTCATGTGTTCTGATATTCTTGATTTTAAATCTTCAAGCTAGCGCTTCGTCTATTTTGCACCTTATCTGTCATATGATTAATTTCCTTTGACTGTTGTCGTTGATGCGTCGTTGATTATGTCATGCTTCTCTGCTTCTCCTATTAAGTACCTCCGTTCATTTGCACTCAATAGAAAAGTTCTGGGACTCGTGAACAGAATATATTTCGGGACGGGCAATTTTCTTTAATATTGGTTATAATTTCAGTTATAAGAATTTGGAACTTATAGATTGGTTAGTTTTTTGCAAGTCTGACTCTGAATTCTCACATGGTCTAATATAATTTCCACTTGAATTTTGAATGGACTCAATAGGATGATTGGACTAATGTTCTTACATATACGGTTCCCTTGCTGTTGCTCCTGCTGCCCCATCGACAGTCGTATTTTTCAAATGCTGACATGCTTGCTGATAAGGCCAGTCGAATTCTAAACCTAGATTCACTTCACTATTGTTCTAAGTCATCGAAAGGATTGGAGGAATTCAATTGCATTACACTGAACAGAATATGATGTGATTTCTAGAGAAGAATTGATTCATCACCTCAATTGTGAGAGTTTGGTATCACGTACATAGTTCACAAGTGTTGGCATTGTAGGTCAACCAGTTTTAGGACGGCAACTTCCATGACAGCGAAGGTCGTTTACTTCTCTGTGCAACGTATGGGATATATGGCTAGAATTGTTTTCAAATGATGTGCTGTGAAGTTGAATTTCATCTTACTCCAATTCATGTTCTGTTTTCTTCTACGTTAGATTTGGTTGTAGAATGTGACTTAAAGATTAGGCTTCATGTCCAGAAGCTTTTAGAGCTTGACTTTTGACAGTACATTGAGCTTTGTGTATTATGAATGTAAATGAGATATTTGTATTACATACGCTCATATAAACTAGTAAAATTTTAAATAAATGGTGTTTGTTTGGGATGATTGGAAGTTAAGGTAAAATTATATATGCTCGAATATAGCCTGTGACTTTTCCTGTACATAAATGTCAATTCTTTTATTTTGTTGTGGTATGGAATACAAATAAGACACCAAACTTGTGAAATAATTTCGTAATTTACATTGATTAAATTTTTTTGTCTGTCATTTGTACAACATTCAATGTACCATTGCTGCGATTAATGGTACAGAAATGAAGTCAATTCTATTTAGAAGTCTGAATTTTTAGGTTTGATTGCAACTATCGATTCAGGTTAATTTTCCTGAATTGAATTCTTTTTGTAATTGTATATGTAAGTATAACACAATACATTGAGGTAACCATAATTTTCAACATATATTTTCAAAGACTGAAAATAATGAAAGAGTAAGCTAAATAAGAATAAAGAGTATATAACAAGAATTAATGATTATACAGTAAATTTGATTGTTTCCTAAAGTTTAAATTTTTTATCCTATTCACTTATTAAAATAATCAAATCGGTTTATTTATAATTCGAGAAGAAACTGGAAAATGTGAATAACTTAGAATTAATTTAAGCTGGAAAAATATAATTAAGTGTTTTAATATATACCACATATCAATTGGCATTTTAGTTGAATTTTGATTAAATAATTATCTATGCAAAGAGTTGTGAGTCATTTCTGAGAGTGACGAGTGATCTTTTTGAAATTAAGGGCAATATTTTCAGAGTTGAATCCGTCAATTTCCCAATTTAAAAAAGGTTTCAAATTCAAATATCGATCAAGTCACAATTTTTTTTGTCTTACATACATTTGTGAATTCTAAATTGTGTTCAACTTAACAAACTGAATTGTATTATAAGATTAAAATTTGAGTTTAAATTAGACTCAACATTAATGTATGAAATTTGGCATTGAAGTAAAAACGAATATTGCATTGTTCTCCAAAAGAATGTATGTTAAGTAAAAAAAATAAACATTCTCATAAAATATGTCCAATAAAGTAAACATCATTAGACTCACTGGAAAAACATTGTTGCATTATTTGAAGGGAGCAATAAATTCTTTAAAACATGACTTACTATTTTAGAAGACATTCATATAGAAGGTGAATAAAGGATAACGTACCTGATACTCAAAATAAACGATGTCATTTTAGTTACAGCTTTCAAGCTAAATAAATAAATTATTAATTTTGAATGTCAAACTGAAAAATCATTAAGGCCAAAACAATTTCTTCTAAAATTTTACAAGATTAAAACTTAACAGCTTCAATTCTTACATCTGAAAGTGACAATGTGTGTGTATATATATATATATATATATATATACTCTTATTAATAGATATGGTAAGAAGTTATCTATTAACAGTCAAGTTTGTGAAACAGTGCAAGATGTGTGACAAAAGAATACAGAATGGTTAGACGGAAGATGAACTCAATTTAATTTACCAAACTTACCATAGCTGAAGACAAACAGATTTAGTTCAAAGTCGCACATAGCAAGGACACTACTGAGGGGCAGCACTTGAAAGCATTCTCATGAAGCACCTCAATTGAAGCTTATTGTCTCATAGCTACTACAAGATACAAGAAGCAATAAAGAATAAAGCGTTTCATATAAGCTAATGTGCATTGTATGACAAGCCTTCATGTTCAGTCATCGTCCACTGCGTGCTCTTCAAGATCACGGTGGAACTCCTCGTCCGACCTCACACATCCGCAGAAGTTGCATTCCATGGATCCCTCTAGCCCTTGGTGATCCAATTCGCCTGGAGGTAAGGGCGCCATGGTGCCTCCACATCCTTCCACAGGACAGAGGTATTTTACGAAAAACATGGCGTGGCCAAAATCATCTTCATCGTCATCGTCATCGTCAATACTCTCGACATCCTCCAATGTAGCCTCTCCTTTACCTAGTTCTAGTTCTCCATTGCTATAACCTTCATCTTCTTCGTCTTGCTCTTCATCTTCGTCTTTCCATTTCGATTCCACATTACATCTAGCACACGTGCACCAAAATCCATACTCTTCTTGCAACTTCTGCTGCCGATCTCCGTAGGGCCAATCAACAGGAAAATAGCTCAAACACACCTCAGTACCCTCCTCCATATCGTGCAGAGCACGAACGATGACATCTGTGTTTCCGTCTCCATCTATATCTACATATTCAAATCTACAAGCATTGGGCAGGCAGTCATGATTAAACATAGAAGCTTGTGCAAACATCGCATACCCCCGGACCTTCCTCTCCTCTCCAGCACAGGAAGGCGCCATTAGCCCAAACGTATTGCAAGCGTCTCGCGCCAATAACTTCCCTGTCAGCTCCAACGAAAGCTCCAACGAAGCCCCGCCATCCAATTTACCGAAAATTTCCACCACAAAATCATGCAAACTCTTCACCACCTCTTCATCACACTCCTGCCCTTCCAACTCCAACAATTTCGCAAACGCTAGCGGATCCTCCACCGCCAAATTATATGCCGCGATCAGAAACCGCGCCAGCGTTCGATGCTCCAAAGAAAACTTGTCCTTACTCTTCTGCAGCATAGCGATCCCTGAACAAACTCGCGTGTTATGACTACCAACCCGGGCCGATTCGAAACAGGATTTTCCACAGAACGTGGCTCCATCACAGGCAGAGCACGGCACTTTCTCCCGACCTGGCAGCGACAACACTCGCATACAGTTGCTGCAAAAGGCCGTGCTCTCCGCAGATTCCGCTTCCTGGTATAACAAGAGAGGTGATTCCCGCAGCAGGACCGCACCTGCTCGTAACATTCGCGTTGCAACCATGCCGCGCCCGCGCCCAGCGATGACTTCCTGCCGCAGGGCCATGGCTGCCGCTGCGCAAGCTGAATTCCAAACTCCGCCTCCCTGCTGTGCAGCCTGGTTCCGCCTCTGCCTCCTTACTCCCACCTCCAAACCCCAAAACCCCCAACCCTTTTCACATTCCCGGGACCTACCCCGCATACGTCATTGCTGATGCGTCTCGTATTTAGGTTCGGTTCTTGAATACAATACGCATATATGCACCAAGTGGAAGTATTTTCGTCTATAGGTGTACAATTATAATAATCCCTTTCGTTTTTGTGTCAAGTTCATGGACATTAGAAATTTAATTTTTCTTTTGGATAAAACCATATAAACTAATAATAATAATAAATAACGACATTTTGATCAATGGATGAGATTGTAAGAGAAATTTGATAAGATATAATTATATTTATGTACGTAAATTATACATAAAATATTAATGTGCCTTATAATTAACATATATATAAAAATTCTTCTCAAAAAATTGAAATTTACATATTTGAAAATGTTCACATAATTAAATACTTTTTGTAAGTTAAAGTATGAATTTTTTTAAGTTCATTTTTAAAAAAAAAATATCATTTTCTTATAAAATATTTTTTATAACGTTTTTAAAACTTTTTCTATGTGGTATATTAAAATACTTAAAAAACTAATCTAAATCATAGTACATAAATATCAAAGATGTGAAAATATATATAAATCTAAAATCAATTCAAATTTAGAAATCTATGTTAGATTATAGGTGCATGAATAAATACTTACATCTATAAGTTTAACAAATGCAAGTAAGTTATTTAGATACATAAAAAATAAAAGAAAATTTCTTTGTGAGATTTGAATTAGTACAATTGTGAATTTTAAAAAATATGTAATAGATTTTTTTAAAAAAATAAATAATAAAATAAAAGGTGGATTTTAAATCTTTTTTTGGTTTTTATTTATAGATTAATATCATAAAAATATTTAGATTATAAATCATAAATTTTAAAATTAATTTTATAGAATTAATTCTTTTATCTCTATGTTATATTTATTAATTTTTAAAATTCATATTTTAGTTAAAAAATATATATTTTTATTTTTAAATCTTGTATATATATAATTTTTTTATGTATGTATTTATTTTAAAATTATTAACTTTGAAAATATAAAAAATCACATATCTCAAAATATTAAATATTTTTTTTAATCCAAAAATCATATGCAATCTTTTGACATTAATTTTTTAATATTAATTTATATTTATATCTATTCAAAAATTATAAAAAATATCAAAAAATTTATAGATTCTTATCTATAAATGCAATAAAACATGGTATCTATGTATGTTGCTAAAAGATTTTTAAGAAATAAAACATGACAAATCCTTCATATAACATAAAGATGTTGCTATTATTTGAATTTCCATAACATTTTTGGATTGTTGAAATTAGGTGCTTTGTAATTAGCAATCATCCTAGTAGCTCTTGGTTTTAGTTTCTAACAATGTGCCAAACTTAAATCTTATTACATATTGTTGCTTTGTGATTTATAATTTATAATTTTATATAGTTTTGACAAAAAAATATTTTACTAATATTAATCTAAATAAAATTTTAAATGTAAAAAAAATTATATTCTTTGATTTAATTTTTTAATTTATTTTTCTTTATAAAATATATATAAATTCAAGTTTCTTTGTAATATTTATTTTAATGTAATACACACACACATATATATATAATTTATATAGATATTTTTTTTTTATTATAAACACCATAGCTATGAAAGTCAAAATAACTATATATATCTAACAAAACTATTTTTATTTTAGCATGGTTTTTTGATAATATAAATTTATTTAAAATATAATTTTATAAATTTAATATATAAAAAAATATTCTTATATTAAAAGCCATAAAATTTGCAACTGATTGAATAAACCTTATTTTTAATTTTTAAAATAAAAAATAAAAAACTATATTATGTAAATAATTTACATTAATAAAATTTAATCTCATCAATAGAGCTAATACAATTATCTTCTATAATTACATGTTGTAGACATCAATATTGACATTAATAATTGGGATGATAAGAGAAGTTATGTTATTTAAGCTATTGATGTAATAAGCAAGCAAAAGACAAAGCTCTATAAACTATCTAGAACAAATAACACTCACACCAATTAATAATAATAAACTTGTTTATTGTATATACTTTACATTGCATTCGATCTAGCAATAATCAACCATAATTTAATTATATTTGCTACCAACATACATTTTGCAATAGTTTACAATTGCCTAAGGCAATGACTAATCCATCCTTAAATAGTCTACCTTCTTTAGGCCATGTTTGAGCTATTCTTCCAAGTTTAGTGATGGCATTGTGAGCATCTTTCTTATCTTCTCTTGGCCATTATTCTTGTGCTTTAGTTAACCTTGTCTTGTTAGGCTTGTATGTTTGTTTTGATTGGTAAAAAGTTAGATAGAAGTAAAAGTAAGTAAATTTTGTAATATCTTATAGACAAGCATTTTAGAAGCTTTGTAGATGCTGATTTGACTTCACAAGTGTTTGTAGGTGATAGGTAGGTTGAAAACTTGGCCAACAAGTTGACCATATATTGCATATGTTGACTTCTTATTTTACAAGTTGGCTACATGTTGGCAATGCAATGTACATGTAGAAAGCATGTTTTGTAAGTTAGATATGTATATTGTAAGTTGAATATGTGTTGGATGACACATAAAACATTCTCACATAGCTTGTTAATTAAATAATATATATGAATACAAGAATGAAGTCTTTCTTGTCAACACCTTTTTTTTTATTCTTGTCTTAGCTCAAAAATTTCTAATTATATTATATTTGGCAATAATCATTCTATTTTCTATCTTTATATATATTTTTAGGTATCACAAGAGTATATTAGTGCTTTAGAATTTTGTTATAATTTATATCTTTGATAATTTGACGTAAGTATTATTTATTTATTTATTTATTTTTATTCTTGTTGTATTTTAAAAAAAAATAGATCATTTCATTTCTTTTTTTGTGTTTTAAAGATTACAAACTATCTACCTTTATACTAACATTTTTTATTTTCTAATATTGATTCATTTTTTTTAAATGATTTTTTTTTTTTGTGATAATTTTTATTTGATATTAGAGGTTGCAAATTATCATCTTTTAATTTGAATTGTAAATGTGTTAAAATTACGAATTAAAGGAATGGAAGAAATAATTATGGATATTACACTTGGTGGAGGTGAGAATAGATTTATAACTATTATAGATCTTTACAAGCCTCTTAATACTCTTAGAGTAGAAATTTCACATATTACTAATATCAACTATAGAAGTATTCTTCCTATGCCTATATAAAAAGCCAATAATGATGTCTATTGTCTATGCTAAGAAATTTTGCATTTGAGAGAAGTAAGTAGATCTACCTTTTAAGTAATACCAAAAAGTCTTGCTACTATAAGTATTAAATAGGCAAAGATTAGTATGACATAGAAGTTTAATAGAATAAGATCAAAATTTTGAAGATTTTTGCAATAAATTAAGTTCTATTTAAGATTACATCTTTTTCAATATCTTAATGGATTACTCAAGTTGAATTTATAAGTGCACTTTTATTTGGAAGAGCTCTTTTTTGATTTGTACCTTTCATGGAAAAAAATTCATGTCTCTTATATAATCTAAATTCATTATTGAAAGCATTTATGGCTACATTTAGAGAGAGTGATTAAGAAAAAATAATAGAGACATAATTCATATGCTTACGACAAGAATTACAATCAGCTACCATCCATACTATCAAATTTTAAAATCTTACTTGCAATGTGGATTACAATGATAAAATCCTTATCAATCAATATTGATATGAATTAATAGATATTATCTCTTCAAAATCCTCACTTTTTTTTATAATACATATTTTTTTAGATCTAAAAAGTATATAATTTTTTTCTTATCAAATCTAAGATTTTTTTTTTTTTTTTTTTTTGATAAAAAATTTGTTATAAAACATGAAATATTTTATATATAAAAAACTAAATTTATGCATGTAGAAATCATAGATGGTTGTCTTTTTTCTTTTAAAGATATTATCTATAAAACTATTCTTTTAGAAGTAGCAAAAAATAATCATAATAGATTAGAAATATTAAATGATAATTAATCTTCTTCTTATCCAATTATTTTAGATTTAATATGATTAAAATAATATAATCTTTAGATAGATTTTTTTTTTTTTAATTTCAATATTTTTTTAATAAAAAAAATCATAAGTTTAATATAACCAAATTATTGTTTGTAGTTGCAAGAACTTTTATACATTGTAAAAAAATATCATCTTTTGTTATTTATGCCACATCTATTTTTAATGGAAAAAAGTCTTTAAGCAAAAATTTTAATCTATATAATGATTACTAAGAATTTCTTCAAAAAAATAATAAAAATATCCTTTTATAGCATTTTTTTTTTTTTATAATTACTTGATTGATCTTAAAAAAAGAGTTTAACTACCAATTAGACCAATCTACAATTTATCACAAAATAAGATAGCTTCACTCAAAGAACATATTGATGAAAACTTGGACAAGGATTTTATGTACTATTCAAGATTTCTTACAAAAGAGTCTATCTTATTTCTAAAAAAAAGACAAATTACAAGAAATATATATAGCTTTTTAAGGATTTAATAACATTATCATAAAAAATAAGTATCTTCTATCTTAGATACGAAGACTTCTTGATCAATTAAGTTAAGCTTAATTTCATAAAAATAAATCTACAACATGTATATAATTTGGTATGTATTAAACAAGGATATTAATTAAAGATTATTAGCTATACTAGGTTTAAAAACTTAAAGATTCATAGCTATTGGTAAAGATAAAAAAGTATGTATTTTATATAATTCAAGTTGATTTTTTAAGATATGTCATTTCAAATGATGGATTTATGATGAATCTTAAGAAAGGTTCCAAAAACAATAAGAGACATCTAATATTTTTTGAGAAATTTTAATTATTATTAGATTTTTATAATTTTTTTTTCAGTTTGTAGCTCCAATGACATGTTTGACTTATAAAA